CCAGAGGCAGGAGCCCACCTTCCCGCCTTGCCTGCCCTTTTCCTGCTGCCCCCCCGCCGCGTTGCCCTGACCTCTCCCCTCACTCCGGGTGACTCGCAGCCTCCGGGCTCCGCGACACCTATGCCTTAAATCGCGCGTGAGACCACGCCGGGGAAAAAAGTTTCATAAGGTGGAATAGAAAAGGCACCAGGAAACTTGGGAGTGAGCATGCGCCCTGCAACATAACGGTGTCAACAAGCTCGCTACCTGTCCGACCGGTTCCGGCGGCCGGGGCTGCCTGATCCAGCCCTTCCTTAGGCATGAATGTTTGCAAAAGAATTTAACGTCTGATTCTTCCCCCCTCCTCTTTTTAAAAAAGGAAGAACATTTTTTTTTTTTAAAATCAACCCTCTGCCTCATACCTCCATCATATGCACTTTATAGTATAAACTCTCTAAAACAAGCCCCAGGTCCACTGCTCCCGGCACCCCTCCTACGAGTTGGGGTCTCCCAGGAGTTGGCCCCCACATCCAAAATGAATTTGCCTCCGTCAAGCAAGTCAGAAATTGGCTCTGGACTTCTTGGAAACATTTCCAAGCTTTTCTGGAATCTCGGTGGTCGGATGTGGGAGGGTCCTCAGGTCGCTTGTCAGGTAACGGGAGGGGGGGTTGAGGGCTTAAATTGCCTGTAATCTGGAACACCCCTCGATAGAAAATCTAAAAATCTTGCATCTTTGGAGCACGTCCCTTTACTGATCTGAGCCACTCAATCTAAGGGATAAGGCTAGTTCTACCAAAGCAGCTTTCACCCCAAAACCTTGCACCCCAGGAGTCCCTTCACCCAAGATCAACGCACAATCGAGACAAAAGCCAAGTGCATGACCTGAGAACGCTTATTTAAAGCGAGTCACTAGTCCTCAGCCTGTCCCATTATTGCCTACCCTAGCCACTGGATCCTCAAATTCGGAGGCAGTAAAGGACCCATCCAGGAAGCCATGGATTGAAAATTGATACGTCCTCCCCCTCCTCTGCCCGCAAAGACGAAGCTTTGAATTTTTTGTTTTTATTTTTTATTTTTCCTATTTACCTTCCTTCCTGGAGGGAAGTGTGTGGGGGGGGGGGGGGGGGTGTGATCTTGTTAAAAAGTTTATAGGGGTGGCCTGCTCACTTTGGGAACCCCAATACCTCTATACAAGGCCCTGTTGCACTGCACCCAGAGCAACCCACACAGCCAACGCCACGGGCGCCCGGCTCCGGGGGTGAGCAGACAAGTGCCAGCTGCTAGAGGCTGCCGGGGCGCGTCTGGCCAGGGGTGCTCAGGCGTCTGCGGTTAACCGAACCACCAGCCTCACCTGCCCATAACACAACCCGATGCGCTCGCGGCCCACATGGCCCGGGGAATCGATACAGAGGCTGTCCCCGTCTTCTTCCGCCTTTGGAATGGCCTTTAGGGATACAGCAGCATACAGCAGCCTGGTAACGGATTTGTGGACTTGGCTGGCGTATTCTCAGAGAGCACAGAGAGGGGGCGCAACTCGGGCGAGGCTGTGTAGGGGGATAAGGCGTCCGCACCATGACTATCGATCTGCCTTCAAAGATTGACCCCATCTGGGATCAACTCTGAATTCTGGTTTCCTCCGAGAAAACTCGTCTAAGAATAAGACGGACTTTGATCCTGGTGAACTAGAGGAGGGAGACGTGTCTATAGCGGCACAAGAAAATGAGGCTTGTTGGCTAAGGAGTTGATGGCGCAGCTTCTGGGCAACTCTGCAGATGTATTTTTATCTGCCAACAAACTGGAGACTTGCTAGAAAGAAGGAGCGTGGTGAATGAAAGAGTAAAAATAAAACCACGAAGCCTCAGAATTATCCTCCATCTTTAAGAATCTTCAAAACTCCATTCAAAATCCCTTATCTTTATTCAAGAACCAGTCAATTCTATTGATGAAACTAGCTTTTCTGCCTTCCTCCCTCCCTCCCTCCCTCCCTCCCT